CATACCACTTTGATAGCGAGATGCATAGAAGTCAATTTAAATAAATATATTCTGATTTAGAGATTTATAATTAAAATAAGAAATAATATTGTAAATTGTAATAATTTTCACCAAAATCTTTTTTCTATCAATTCGATATTCTCTTCACAAACCGTAGTATATGTGTGTGTGTGTGTGTGTGTGTGTAAAATTTTCTATATAAATATATAAATAAAATTTTATTCATCCAAATATATGATTGTTCAATATTACAGATTAAATACTATTAATGAAGGACGAGTTGCGATTGGTGATATGTCTGGATTTCTGCCATGTACTCCAAACGGCTGTATCGAGTTAATCAAAAGGTTTGCTATCTCAGTAAAGTAATTTAATATTATGCAACGTAAGAAGTTTCTTTCATTATGTAGCTACGCGTTAAACTAAGAAATCAACTTTTAGGAGCGGCGTGCCTATTGCTGGTGCTACAGCCGTTGTTTTAGGAAGGAGCAAAATCGTTGGTACTCCTGTTGCTGAACTACTAAAATGGCATAATGCTACTGTAACAGTCTGCCACTCAAAAACAAAGAATCTCTCTGATGTCGTAAGCAATCATTCAATCATTCATTACAATTTTTTTCTTAATACTTGTAAAGTAAAATAAAATAAATAACTGTATTAATATAAGACTTGTATTATTTTTTAAAAACTGTTTTAGGTCCGTCAAGCTGATATCTTAGTAGTTGGTATAGGACAAGCCGAATTAGTTAAGGGTAATTGGATTAAACCGGGTGCCGTTGTCATCGATTGTGGCATCAATTCTATACCAGGTACGAAACTTCATTATTTATGCGACATATTTGATAAATTAATCAAATTCAAGTTTATCAATGAATCTATTATTAAAATTTATCTTGGAAAATTCTGTGTGAAAATGTCTTAAATAATTTTTCAACACCGATGTATCAATCGTTTTTCATAAGAAAAATTGTAACATTTGCAATTCACTATTTTTAAACTAAAAAAATAAAACACATCGCGATAATAGTACAACAAACAAGGCAAAATATTCATTACAGTTTTTCTTACAAATTCTTTAAAATTAATGTTATCATGTACATATATTATATAATTTATTATGTAATTTAAATATTATAAGTCAATAAATATTTTCATTTTTCCAGCATGTAAGACTTGTAAGTACGAGCTGTAAACACGTTTGCGTTTGTATTATATATTGACGTTATCACCCTTTCTCTACTTCTGTTTTTCCTAATCTCTCATTTCGAAGAAGACATTGCTATATCCATAGACTTCTAATTATGAAGCAAAAAAATACAAAACCATAGTCGATTATTTAGTTTAAGTTCAGTCACATCCGAGTACGTGCGTCATGAACAACGCGTTAGTTTCTGATAATGTAAGCGCGTAAAACATTTATCTCCCAAAATGAGGCAATACACATGAATTAATTTATTATCAAATAGGTATATTATATTATAATTTTAGTTAATTATAATTTTATTTTAAAATAAACTCTCTTTTATTATATTTAAAATAATTTAACAAACAACTTTGAAACAACAAATATAATCGAAACATTTGCAAGACCAATAAATATCATTAAAACGTTAAGGGCGTTTCAGATCCTACAAAGAAAAGCGGACAACGTTTGGTAGGCGACGTGGCATATCAAGAAGCCGCTAAAGTAGCTTCGTATATTACACCAGTACCAGGCGGTGTTGGACCAATGACAGTAGCTATGTTGATGAAAAATACTGTGATATCCGCGCAAAGATCGGCGGAAAAACTCCTTAACAATCAATGGAAATTGCGAGCTCTTAAATTGTCTCCTGTGAAACCTGTACCAAGCGACATCGACATCTCCAGAAGTCAGGAGCCGAAATCGATCATTACACTAGCTGAAGAAATCGGACTACTATCGAACGAATTTAGTCCTTACGGCAGCAAGAAAGCTAAGATTGGTCTCAACGTACTGCAACGACTAAAGAATCAAAAAAATGGAAAATATGTCGTGGTAGCGGGTATCACACCAACGCCATTTGGTGAAGGAAAAAGCACAACCTCCGTCGGATTAGTGCAAGCACTAACGGCACACAGAGGCCAAAATTCTTTCGTTACTCTTAGACAACCTAGCCAAGGACCTACATTCGGCGTTAAAGGAGGAGCTGCTGGAGGAGGATATTCACAGGTATGTGATAGAGAAATTTCTTCAGATAACGATACCATCAATATTTATGAAGACATAGTCATTGTTTATTGGTTCAACTAACATCGATTTTGTTATAGGTAATACCTATGGAGGAATTCAATCTTCACCTAACTGGGGATATTCATGCTGTTTCTATCGCAAATAATCTTATGGCTGCTCAAATTGATGCACGATATTTCCACGAGTCCACTCAGAGTGATAAAGCCCTATATGATCGACTGGTACCAGCTATTAAAGGTGTCAGGAAGTTCTCGAAAATTCAGCTAAGACGATTGGAAAAACTTGGCATCACAAAAACTGATCCGAATTCGTTAACAGAAGAAGAACAACGTAGATTTGCAAGACTTGACATTGATCCAAATAACATTATATGGCCGCGAGGTGCGATCTTATAGAATTTAGGAATGATATATTTGCGAAAAAGATATAGAAATTTGCAATATCTTTTCTGTTATGCAGTGGTGGATATTAACGATCGATTTTTACGGAAGATCACCATTGGTCAGAGCCCAACCGAGAAAGGCAAGACAAGAGAAGCCTCATTCTGTATTTCTGTTGGATCTGAAATAATGGCCATCATTGCATTATCAACTAATGCCGAAGATATGAAGAGGAGGCTTGGTAATATCGTTGTTGGATTTAGCAAAAGCGGCGAGCCTTTAACCGCTGAAGATTTCGTTAGTATAATTATTTGAAATTATATACAAAAAAAATTATCTAAACTATTCATTCAATATTATTATTTATATGAAGTAATGATTATTTTCGTTATCTATTTTGTTAATTATTTTAATGATTTAAATGAATTAAAGTATAATCATGTTCGACTACATTTAGATATAAATGAACCGTTCACAATAATCTTTGCATCACCATAAATTCAACAAAAACAATTTCCTGCTTGTTTAAATATCTACTTAATCCTCAGGGTATGACAGGAGCAATGGCGATTTTGCTAAAAGATGCTATAGAACCAACACTTATGCAATCACTAGAAGGTACACCGGTAATAGTACACGCTGGACCATTCGCCAATATAGCCCACGGTTGTTCATCCATTATCGGTGACGCTATTGCCCTAAAATTAGTCGGACCGAAAGGCATTGTAGTAACAGAAGCCGGATTTGGATCAGATATTGGCATGGAAAAGTTCTTTGACATCAAGTGTCGTGCTTCCGGATACGTACCGAATGCTGTCGTACTTGTGGCGACTATCCGAGCATTGAAGATGCACGGTGGTGGACCGCCGGTAATGACCGGGGCGCCGTTGAAAAAAGAATATGTCGAAGAAAATGTTGAACTTGTTAAAAAAGGCTTACCAAATCTACAAAAACACATCAGCAATGGTTTGAAATATGGCGTGCCTGTAGTGGTTGCGATCAATTCTCACAGGTGACTTTTCTTACAAATAAATAATAGTGAAAGCTGAATCCGCAATCATAAGAATGCTAATCTTGAATGTATATTTGTTTCGTATGAAATTTTTACGTAAACCTTAATTTACTAAGTTACCAATTTATTTCACGAACTAAAAGCCTTAAAGAACGAATGTTTTATAATAGTTTTAAGAATTTTGTCTACAAGCTAATTATATATGATATTTGAATTAATCGGTTACAGATTAGTATATTTACATTAATCTTTCAGTACCGATACTCGAGCGGAGCTAGAACTCGTTAAGCAAGCAGCCTTGGAAAGCGGTGCAACTAATGCAGTAATATGTACTCATTGGGCCGAAGGTGGAGCTGGTGCTACAGCTCTTGCAGATGCAGTAATAGCCGCTACCGAAAAAAATAGTAATTTCAAACTGTTATACAATCTTGAGGATAGCATCGAGGTTAAAATTAATAAGATCGCCAAAGAAATTTATGGTGCTGGCCAAGTCGTTCTCGCGGAAAAGGTGAATAAATATTTTCATCCCATATGTGTAAATTATCGCTAGAAAGTATTACCAATATTATTAAAAATATCTGAAATTATAATATATATTCTAATATAAAGTAATTTCATTAATATTTTTATGTATTTGTATCGATGATCGCACAATTTTCTCTTAACAATATATTTGTCATATAAGAACTCTAATATGCTATGTTAAGCAGAACTGACATTTTATATACTACCATAATATGATTATTACAATATATAAACTTCTATCATTTATTATAGGTGCAGAAAAAGATAGAACAGTATAATAAGTTAGGATATAACAAATTGCCGATATGTATGGCAAAAACATCGAATTCGTTAACTGGAGATCCAGCAATTAAAGGTGCACCAACTGGTTTCACCCTTGATATTACAGATATATTCGTTTCAACAGGCGCCGGATTTATTGTTCCTATGGTAGGAGAGGTGAGTGATTTCTCAACTGTGCAATTAATAAAAAATATCTGCTAGGTAATTTTTACATTATTTCATGATTTCATTATACATATATTTCAGATTATGATGATGCCAGGACTTTCAACTAGACCAAGTATTTACGATATGGATTGGAATACCGAAACAAATGAAATAGAAGGCCTATTTTAAATTTAGTATCTATTTTATAACTGAATTAAATGTATATTTTTTAACGAATATTTTCGTAATATATATACATTAATAACTCCTCAGAAAGTTTATATATCAATATAATCGTTAATAAACTTTTTTGTACTCAAAAAGCTTACATTCTTTATTATTTATGTACAGTATGATATACATTCTATTAAAATAAATATATTGTATATATATTACAAGTATACCATTTCAACAAATTTGTAACATTGATAAAAAAGTGCGAATTATTACAAGTTTTAATACACTGTGTTTATACATATTTATTTCACCTTCATAATAGCGCGCAATTTTGCGGATCGCGATCTCGGATTTGTTTTAATTTCTTCAGCAGTAGGTGTCAAAACATGCTTGTGCATCATTTTCCATGGTATTTGTGTCAATCTTTCAAATTCGTCCTTATCAAATGTTTTACCGTAATTCGCATATTTTAATGCCACGGCATTAGCTACATTATCAGTTATGTTTCCAGAAATATGTCTTTTGACTATAGTATCTTCGAGCGAGTGAAATGAGATCGTTATTAAAAGACCGGATAATTTCAAATATACTTGTGCAAGAAGTATACCGTAATTGATTTCATTTAATTCATTATTGACAAAAATCCTAAGTGCTTGAAATGTTTTTGTAGCACTGTGTGAAAATCTGCCAAGGCTATCTTTTCTGATTTCACCATCTAAAGTGGATTCGATTAGCTGAGCTAATTCTTTTGTCGTCTCTAATTTTCTAAACATGTATCTAGCATCAATAATAGCATGTGCAATTTTTTTAGCTCGTTTTTCTTGTCCATAAATTTTTATGATACGAGCTAAATCTTCTTCTGTTGCTTTTTCCAACACATCTGCAGCAGTAACTTGTGATGGACATCGAAGTCCGTCCATTCTCATATCTAATGGACCATCTTTTGATAAAGAAAAACCTCTATTTGCTGTATCAAATTGCATTGATGAACAACCAAAATCGAACAAAATACCATCTATACTATTTTCTTTAACATTGTGTGGTTTAAGTAGTTGCGGTAATTCAGAAAATTTACCCAACAAAGGAATTATTTGTCCTGGATATTTCTGTGATAAGTGTTTTGCATATTCGTATGATAAAGGATCTCTATCTAACGCAAATATTTTTATATCAGGTGAATGTTCTAATAATTTGATGGCATGTCCACCAGCACCAAATGTCATATCTATATATACTTTGCCTGGCGATGGAACCATGTAAGTCAATACTTCTTGTACCATAACAGGTACATGAAGATCTTTGTTAGAGCAGACATCATACTTAAGACTATATTGCCTCACATTAATTAAACATAGCAAATTACTTTTTGTTAACAATGCATGTATTCTACCGATAAAATGCCTATTCCTACCAAATTTATTTGCAAAGTATGCAAACTTAAACGTCATCATTTCTTCTATTTTTTATTGACCAATAAATCCTCCTAAATATTCCCTTATCTTCTTCTATCAAAGACTTTCGTACTTCTGGAGTTAACGCCAAATTACAGATCTCCCTGTTTAATCCACTTGCAGTACTTAACAAAGAGCGTTTATAAAGTTGTCCATAATAATTCGATGAAATCCTTTTTAAGCTTGAATAATATCGATTACACTGTTCGGGATTCGGTTGATAAGCAGCGTCACCCTTTGAAAACGCAACTCTCAATTGGTCACGAATGTGCTGTCCCAAGTCGCTAAAAATCATCAAATCAAGTAGATAGATAATAGAAAAAATTTTAACATACCGCAAAAGTTAATAATGTAGTAAATTATATGTTTTCTTCATAAATAATCAAAAACTACATGTAATGAGTTGCTCTAACCTAACTAATGATACATATTTTAGAAACATTTATACATTGACAGAAACTCGCGTTAATAACCATTGCATTCAAAATAATAACATATACGATATTTTGCCTAGCGTTATATCGTAATAATTACCTGCCAACTTTGCTCTTATCCAACGGCCACGATTCCAAAAGTTTCATAAAGTTTTTATAACTTCCAGCCATGACGGGATCAGAGAGAAACCTAACCTGATTTTATCTGAGAGTGGCCATCCCAAAGTCTGTTCTTTTTATAGCTGAAGTTCTTGAATCTTTCTCTTTTTCTCTCCCAACGTGGAGAAGGAAGATGAAGAACCGTGCAAGTTCAACTAAAAAGAACAGACCTCTGATTGTTTCCATATGACGCTTCAAAGATTTCGTACACTAGCGACACCACCATCTATTTTATAAAATAATGCAAACTACATATCATATTGTATTATCGACACTACTGATAAAATTGCAGCAGTCGATAAATTAACATCAGAGTTAATTCTAGAGTACATCCATTTTTGATTTGGGAACTAGCTAGTTTATGCACTGACGATAAAATTCATAACGCGATTTAATCTCGAAAAAAAAATAATTTTTATAGCAACTTAATATATTTAAAAATACATTTTAATTATATTTAAAAAAATACAGACTTGTTTTATTTAACATACCTTTTAATTCAGTTTTATAAGTTCTGAAGCCTTGTATTTATGATACTAAAATTCGGTCCAAATTCTTGAATCCTGCAGGAATATGTAGTCAATTAACATACAGTTTTTATAAAAGAACAGCAATTTGATTGGTTATACATTTCTTGGTCCTAGAATTTGAACAGAGTTCTAGTATCGTAGGGATACAAGAAGGCAGGCCATCACCACTGAACTTGACTGTGATTGGTCCATTTCTAATTTATGACTTATGATTTGTGACTTACGGCTTAGGGCCTTAGCAGAAAGGTGACTTATAATCTTAAGACAGTTCTTGTGCATTACTAAAGTCATGAGACTTAAGTCATAGAACACTGTCTTAAGATATAAGTCACCTATCTGCTAAGGCCCTTATTGTAGAAGGCCCATGATGGCCTTTACTGCGACGTCTTGCTTCATCCGCTACTACTACTGCCCATTGTAGACCACGCATTACATATTCTGTAAAATTTCAAATATTAAAGCGCATTCTAACGGACCAAAATATCTATTATTTGTGAAAATTAAATATCGATTAAAATAAATAGATGGTAACTATTAAAAAGATTGTATATGAAAGAATAATCAAACTTATAAAATAAATAAACAATCAATCTTAAATGACGCAAAATTTTAAATTAATAAAATATTAATTGTTTGTAGGTTTATCGAAATTTACAAATCAATAGTTGAATTTGTCCTAATTTTCAACATCAGGGTGGCGTCACATGGAGTGAAAATTGCAACGGAACGGAACAACGGAACACGGGACTAATATTAGGGCTGCGCAAAATGGAGGAACAGATATTAGATATTAAAATATTAACCTATCAATTACCAGTTACACTGGAATACACGATTCTGATAGGTTAATATTTTAATATCTAATATCTGTTCCTCCATTGTGCGTAGCCCTGATGTGATTACATTACAGCCACCACAAATATCTCGTTGCTTTCGTCAGGGCCTCTTTCACCAACGCCGATTAACTTAATCGACGATTAGTCCATTGGAATTGACCAATCGCATTTATCATTTAGTTTTGACGACAGACGCGATTGGTCAATTCCAATGGTCTAATCGTCGATTAAGTTAATCGGCGTTGGTGAAAGAAGGCTCTCAGTGACGCCACGATTTTACCAGGTGACGCTGCTTTTCAATGCACATGAAATAGTAGCTTAAGGAAATGTGGGGATATCATAGATTAGGTATACCATAGATAACCAAAAGATATCTATGGTAAACTAAAATATCACGTGATCAAATTTGACGAATAGCAAACTAACGATATTCTAGTATGTTCTAGAAATCTATGGCTTGAATATGCTAGAGTCATAGATATCAGAGAAGTGCAACCGATGTTCCGCGTCCTGATTAGCTGACTGTCAGCCAATCATGATATTCATTCAGTGTTATTAAAATGGCTGACTAATAGACGATTGGTGGATTTCATATTTCGTCTGCAAACGACGCCATTTTTAATACTTTTCTTAGTAATTTTGCGATACTGACTTAAGCCGGTTGCGCTTCTCTGATATCTAGGACTCTAAATACGCCATATTACATTAAATTATCGTTGGCATTTCTGCAAGTTGATTATCGATTAATTTAGGAAGTCAGTTCGTGGAAGATTCTTAACCTATATTATCGTTGATTATTTCAGCATTTTTAAGAAAAGGATAGGTCGTGTAAAAGGATAATAATTCAAATATCACGCATGCGATTTTATTTACCAGAATATTTTATGTGTGGCATCTGTAATATTTAAAACGGTATGTTTTAAACCTGATTGAAGTGTTATGATACATCATATTTGGTTCACTTGCACCTTGATATTAGTGTCCGTTTCGACTAATATATACATATTAACTTTAATTTCTCGGTTCAACTATTTCTTTATTTTTTCTAATTTTTAGAATTAGAAAAAGATAAAGAGTTGAGAGAGAACCAAAATTAAATTACATTAATGGTACATAAATCACTTTACCAAGAATTATGTTTCTTTGTGTTGCTTGTACTTTTTGCACTCAGCTTCTTTGCTTTCTTGAATGTCCAAATGTGTATTCCTTTTTACTTAGATTTAATTATCAAAATTTACAAAATAAATATAAAAAGAAAAGACACACAGGAATAACAAGTACTGTTAGTTCCACTTTTATCAATATGTACTGCTTTTAGTAATTAATGGGAAATCCAGTAAAGGTTAAAGCATTTGTTATTGTATGTTAGTTTATATGTTTATCAATATAAAGCAAAAACATTCAGCTTGGCTTGTAGCCTTTTCTTTTATATTTATTGATTTTTTTAAATTTTTGAACCTTTATATCTGCATGTGTGATCATTTCTTACAAAATTTTTATAAAATTTATATAAAATTCTTAAATCTTTTTTTTCTTTTACTAGGTCACTTTCTCAAAAAGATCCATTGATATCAATATGAGGATGTAGCATCTTTTTCAAAAATAAAAATTATTTTTGAAAACATTAAGAAGTCTTTATATAATTTATAGAAATGTCTCAAATGAAATGTGATACCTGCCGTCTTTGCGGTATTAAATTTGAGTTCGAACATTTAAAATATATCTTTAATGAAACAACTGATTTAGTACAGATAATAAATGAAACTTTACCAATTAAGGTATGTGTGCTAATTAATTTATACTATTAAATAAGTACATTACTATATGTTCAATTGTTTACAGGTTTCACAAGATGACTGTTTTAAATATATATGTTTAGACTGTTATGATAAAGTTATCAATCATCATACCTTTGTTCAAAATATATTAGCACACTCGAAGAAAACAGAAACAAAAACTGACTCTGTCTTTGAAATCAACAAAAATGAGAAATTTGAAGATGTGATTTATAAGTTACACAATGACATGATATATCCCTGTCCAAATTGCAATAAAAACTTAATAATCTTAATAAACAGCAATTCTTCAGATAATAATCATGCATTTGATGTTTCATTAGTTCTTGTGAATCCAATAGAACAATTGCAAGAAAATAATCAAATATCTGATGATACAGAGGAGTTTAACATATGTACATGGAAATCACGGGCATTAGATAAGTTATATAAAGTATCATTGAATCATGATATTGTTAATGAGAATACAACAAGTGATAATAAACGAAACATCAATAGGAAACTTAGAAGCTTGCAAAAAGATACTAAGGATACAGCTAACGTTATACCACATAATATTGATACATCATGTGAACTAAAAACTGGTGAAAAGAGAAAGAGTCAACAAAGTATTTCTACAAAAACATTTGTTAGTCCTGCTAAGATACAGAAAGTAGAAGTAAAATTAGATAAAATGGAACAAAATTACAATCATGAATTAGATAGTGATTACAGTACATTAAGTGTAGCTGACTTAATAACATTTCGATCGGTAGACAATGAATGTCTTAGTGAGGAAATAAAAAATAAAGGCAATAATCTTATTAAATCTCAAATAATTTGGAAAAAATTAAATGCAAAAGAACAAGATGAATCCAATGGTAATTATGATAGATCAAATATGACTGACTTGATAATATTTCAGCCAGAAAACGATAATGTGGAATCTGTCTGTGATGATAAAGGAATTAAAGATAACAATGTAATAGACATGACGAAAATGGAAGAATGTGTTAACGAAAATGATACAAATGACATCAACATTTCAAAAAATAATGCAAAACAAGTATGTAATTTGTGTGGAGCTTGGTATATCTTACAAGATAAATATGAGTTTCACATGGAGAGACACAAATTAAATAAAATAGATAAATACGTTTGTACAAAATGCGATAAAGAAACTAAAAATGAAAATTTGTTGTGGTGTCACTATCTCAACCATCACAAGAACTCAAACGAATTCCTCTGCTTAAAATGTAAAAAAGTATTTGTTAAAAGATCAAATTTAGTTGCGCATCAGAAAATATGCAAACTCTCTGATCACGAAGCAGTATTAAATGTTGAAGCAAATATAAATAATAATAAGAAGCAAAAATGCAAAATCTGCAAAAAATTGATAAAAAATGTAGATCGTAATGCTATTGACAATCAAAGAAAATGTGCCTCTTGTAAAGAAAAAAGACAACCGCAGCGAAAATATTATTGTTCGGAGTGCAATAAAAACTTCATGCGTCAGGAGAGACTTGAGTTCCATAGGATGCGACATAATGAGAACATGAACGAGTTTATCTGCAGCACATGCGGGAGAGAATTCAGTGGGGAAAATTCTTTGTACGAACACTTTATCTTTGTGCATAAGAGATTTAGACCACATATTTGTGAAATATGTGGTAAGTCATTTCAGCTGAAGATACGATTGAAAGAACATCATCGAACACATACTGGTGAGATGCCATATCAATGTGAAATATGTGGCCTGCGATGTAGAACTACACATGCATTGGCATTTCACAAGAAATCTCATTTCTCCAATCGCCACACTTGCGAGATATGTGGCAAATCGTTTCTTAAGAAGCAGAATTGGAATGAACATCTAGAGAAACACTGGAAAAAAGACAAGAAAATATCACTTTCGCAAATATTTACATGTCCTGTATGCAACGATGATTTGCCAACCTACCGCATGTTAAGAACTCATATGATTACAAATCATAAGCTCGACCATCAAGATCCCTTAATAATTAATCAAAAACCATTATATGAATGCAACAAGTGTCAAGAAAAATTCAGACATCAAATGTCTCTCAAGTCACACAAGGACAGGGTGCACGAAGGCAAAACGGTACCTCTTTTATTTCAGTGTGATATATGCGAAATTACATTCAAATCCAAACGAGTGTTAATAAAGCATATTCGGAACGAGCATGATGAGAACAAGCATAAACAATATAAAAAAAAATTCAGAAATAAAGAAGATCTTGATCATCACGTTTCACTACACAATAGTAAGAAGTTTGCATGTGAGTATTGTAACAAGTTCTTCGAGCAAAAGGATGACAGGGACTTACATCACCATGAACACACAAACATTTACCAGTGCGGAGATTGCAACGAATCATTCAATAGTTCTGCTAGCCTCTTAAATCATCGCAAAAAGATGCACCAATCCGAGAATCCAGAATACAAAATTAAATGCGACAATGTACAACAAATTAAAATTCATTTGGACGAATCTCAATGAAAATTTAAGTAAATTAGATTCCAAGTAATGTAGTAAAAATATAAGTGATAGTTATACCCGATATATCCTATTGTATAAAATAATATATAGATGTATTGCTTGATATATATATATGTTATATATTTGATGTTACATTAATATGCATTTTTAATACACATACACACACATATATATATATATATATAGCATAATTCTTAATTGCACGTAGCTGCATCAAATAAAAATATTCTTATTTGATCTAATCTATTCTTTAACTCTTAATGATAGTGCCGTTGCGTAGATTTTATAACCGACTGTTAAGAGTTAAAGAAAAGAGACCTAAATAATATTAATAGTTTTGTTTATATGTACATTTACGTGTAATATATGATTTTTTTTTATAGTATCAGAATTATTAATATTTTTGTATATTTAATATTATCTTTACATTTATTTTAAAAATAATTGAATTACATTTTCATTATAATACTTATCAATGTACTTATAAACAAATAAATTTCAATAATAGAGGAATGATTGAGAAATTTTGTACAAAATTTGTAATTTTTAGAAAATGAAAAAAACAGAAACTACATACAAAAAGAAAAACTATATACTTGACATAGAAAATAACAATATGTCAATCAGTAGGTTATCTTTGTTAAACAAAATTGCTATGAACAATTGTTAAAAATGTTAAACAAATGCATTTTGTTTGTTTCGAGTTAAACAACATAATGCAAAAAAATTTTAAATATATTTGTAGGATAAAAATTTATTTAAAAAAATGCTTTCTAAACATCTCACAATCAGAATAGCTTTATAATCTGTAACTACAAAAATGAAATTTTGAGCAAAACTTATTTGAAAGTCTGTTCCTCAAATATGTATACTCTTATAGATGGATGTAAGATTGACATTGTATCATTTATTGATTCAATCATTTAACTCAAATTACTAATTTTAGGCTGCACGTTAATCACTACTGTAAATCATTATTTAATAAACATTAATTAAAATAATACAATTTTTAATTGAAGAGATAAAAGCAATAGTGATGTAAGTTACTATTTTAAATCCATCAATTTGAAGTCATTGATACAGTCTACTGAAGTATGTTGAAAAAATCTCGAAATCATGATTAAGTCACTTACACTATTATGGCTTTTAACTTTACAATAATTTAACTTTATACAATTATTATGTTTTTTATTTTTCAAAATATTATGTTACTAATATTTGTACGTTACATGGATATATTAATGTAGTAACATACAAAATATATTAATGATATTAACATCATAATCTCCTAAAAATAAAAGAATACATATAAATTGTGAGCTGAACATGTATTTGAAATACTTTTATTTGAAAAATAGTTTGTGTAAGACAAATGTATTTTGTATTTCAAATACTAAGACTGATAATACATTTTACTTCAATTCCACAAAAAAAAAAACAGAACTTTAAATTTTTTTTATTTTAAGTACAAAATATTCAATACTTTCATGTGTTCCGCTGAAATACTAGTATTGCAAAAATTGCGTTTTAAATAACAATATTGAAATACATGCTCAGCTCTGGATATATCATACAAATCTTTGTATGTTTGCATCACGCAACATCATCGAAATGACAAAGCAACATGATCGTCTTCATTCAAATTTAAATGGCTACTACCGTGCGCGCGACACGCAGAAATTTAAATGGACGCAGCAATGTAAAAATCAGGTGGTCGCCCGTGCGGATCCAAAGACGACCGTACAATCAAGACAGATTTTTCAACCGCTACGGCAAAATATCTATCTTAGAATCGCGAAATAATTGATGCATCGTGGCACGATGCACGTGGATTCCAAAAGAATTTCGAAAAAAATGCTCAAGGTTCATCGAGTCACGTGTGTCGTTTGTCGAAAGCCCAACGAGTGGAAAAAAAAAAAAAGACACGCGACGGGACTACTTTCTCGCGGAGGGATATCGACGAGAGGTTCGTCTCAACGAGTCGATATTCGAACGGTTCGCCAAGTCAAACCGATCGTTTTTCTGTCGCGCACGAGGACAGGCACGGCGTGACTTTTCACGCCGATCCATTGAGGTAGCTCGCCAAGATGGGCGATTTTCCACGAGGTTCACCGTTGCGGAATTGGCGAAATTTTCGCGTAGGCAAGAGGGTTGCATGTGGAGTGCACACAAGCGCACATCTCGATTCGCGACGACCGAGGCCGTTCATTGGCCGAAAACTCAAGGTGGAACGAGCGATTCGCGGGCGCGCACTCATACTGCCATGCGATCGCAAGTATCTACACGCTGATACGAGCCACGGTACTGTATTCCGATGCAGAATCGTCGCGACTCGTCGCGGAACCCGGTGCTTCTTTGAAGAAAAAAAAAAATTGCATTCCTCCCCTTTTTCTGTTTTTATCAACCGCGATCGCACTCTGATACGAATTTTTATTAAAAATAAAAACAATTACGTTGCGTATAGATGCAGAAATTATAGAAAGGAAATGTCAATCGACGTTTGGTTTATTAGGATTTCCTGTCCGTTTTATTAAAAATTCATAAATCGAGTAAAAAATATCTATATCAAGAATTGTCCAATAAAAGTTTCCGAACAGAAGTTGCATTCTTCATAGATGACCGCAGAGGTGACGATTTGAGCTTTCCACTTTCACGAGACGTTGAATGTCGGCGCGGCGGGTCGTGTAAAGGTTGGGGCATCCGAGATGCCTTGATACGGACATGGTTACCGGGTACAGCAGGCAGGCAGGCAGGGCGCGGGCTACGAGCAGAGGGGGACTCGTGAGTTCGCACGCATATACCGGCGACGTAGATTGGCGCACGGCCAACAGCGAATTCGTTCGCCGGCTCCCAACAAGAACGCGTCGTCGCCGACATATACAGCGTGAGCGCCAACCTAACCGAGGGGGAGCATACCTATAGATATAACCGCTATTAATCCTACGGTCGTGGGCGAGTCGGTTCGTGAAAATGGCCGGGGAAAAGCGCAGCAAGGATCAGGACGAGATCTCACTCGCGAAGACGGTACTCGTCGACATCGAAGGCACCACCACGAGCATCAGCTTCGTGAAGGTAAAGGGCCACAAAGGCGAAGGGAACGGAACGCGCGACAATGCAAATGTTCGAGATCAGAGCATGCCGGGGTCATCTCGTGTCGCGCACCATTCCGGGGAGCGGCCTCGCCGCGCGTATCCCAACATTTATTCTGCGAGCAGTGCCGGCGTTTTTTTCCCCTTTGACCGTACGAGCGCGTGTGTGCGATCCCTTTCTGCCCTTTTCCCATCCCTGGAAGTCATCGGGATCCCGACGAGGAGCTCTCGCCTCTTCGTTCTCGTCTAGCGTACGTACGCGATCGAATTCCACGCACAGCGGGTTATTGTCCTCGCGTCGGGGCGGTGTGCCGGCTCGAATCGCGAGTTTTCGGTCGACCGTAAGTCGCCGCCGCCGCCGTGTGAGACGGAAAAGAGAAGGCATTTTGAGCTAAGAGAGTATCTGTTCCGAGTTTTCGGCCGAAAAGGGCGAATTCACAGCTCTCGCTAATGACAGACGGCCGAAGGGTCGTAAGAATACCGTTTAAAAACAAATGCCATGATCTTTTTATAGACGTCAGTCGCATTGATACATGCAGTATGTATACATATATGTACATATATATATATACATATACTGTATATACATATATATATTGACGCGGCGCGCCGAGACGCCGCGGAACGCCGTCGGGAAACAACGGGACACGCGCATGATTTTTCCCGGTGAACGTTTTGCGCCGGCGACGGCGCTTGATCTTATATGAACGCGGCTTATTTCTCTTGCAGGAGACTCTCTTTCCCTATGTGCGTCAGAATCTAAAAGACTACATTGAGACGAAGTGGGAGAATGAGGAGTTCAAGCAAGATTACGAAAAGTTAAAGGAACAGGTAAATATACGGAATTTTTATCAGTCGAAGGAGTAGAAAATTAACAAAAATTTGATAGGATGAAAAAAGTAGGAGGAGGTTTGTCTTTGAAATTGTGAGAGGAATTTGTATATTATTGTATCAAAGTGTTGTATATATTTTTATTTTTTTTTTTACATGTTACTCAACATTTTTAATAAAAAATGAAACGATGTGGAATAATTTTTATTTATGATGTAAAAGAAAAAAAAATGGAATGACTTATTGTACAGTTTTAGAGTAAGCTCTTTTGTTTGACAATAAAGCATAAAATGTATATTGAACAATACATTCAATTAGCAATTAAGTTAATAATATAATTGAAAATAAGAATCTTCGACTAAAATAACTATCTTGCTACAAATAATGAATAAGAGATGAGTAAGTTTATAAGGTCTCATTACAATAAATTATTAAATAATTGTTATTTTTTATTCTTATAAGATAACAGAATTTTTAATGAATAACAAGCATCTATATCCTTTATTCCTTTTTCCTTATCATCTTTTTAATGTTGAAAACTATCTTTTTCAGCCTATGATACGAATATAATTTCTTTAATTTGTATAAAATTAATCCTTTATGTTTAATATATTAAATTCTATAGATATATTATTTTTTTATATTTTTTATCTCCCATGTACATTTCATGACATATACATTTCTTTAATCTTTACACTAGGCATAGATAATTATATTTATTTTAAGAATGTGTATCGAGAGCACATTTTAAAGTAAATTTTATAAAAAAATTCATTTTTTTAAATATTCATTTTTAATAATTCTTTATTACTTTTTATCAATTCTATATCACTTACCAATGGTTTAATAATACGCTTTTATAGGCAAAAAAGGACGAAGAAGCAAAATTAGAAGGCTTTGTTGCAATTACTGGTGACAAACCCGAAGACGAGAAAGATTCACTTTTGAAAAATGTTTTGTGGCAAATGGATAACGATCGTAAGACAGCTGCATTAAAGCAACTGCAAGGACATATGTGGCGTGAAGCATATAAAACAGGCACAGTCAAAGGACAGTAAGTGATTCTATCTTATTGTTGCTCTGATTTGTTTCCATCTGTATTAGATAATTTTATTAATCCTATATGCATAATCTATATAATTTCTATATGCTCATTTACATCGAATATTAGCGAGCCTATATAAATAGTATTACATAATTATAAAAATTTAAAAATGCTCATGATATATAATACGTATATAAAAGATTATGTAATATACAATTATCGTAAACAGTGAGATGAATAGTAGTATTTGGGCTCACTTCAATCATATCTTATTTATATTCATTCTTTACACATAAGATTTCTTATTTATAAATGCATAAAGTCTATAATGCTTTTTATTGCATTTTTAATTTTATATTTTAACTTGTGAATGTTCTGCATTCTGGAGATGTTAGATGTATTGAAAACTATTTTTTTCTTCAACAGCTATTATTATGAAAAAAATTTGAAAAAATCTATTGTAATTCTCTAGAATAGTATTCGCAAATTAAATTTCATTACAAAAGCTATTGCTATTTGATAAAAAATTATTATAAAATTTGATCAAGAAAATAAAATTTAATTTAGTTTTAATATTAAGCTTCAAAAGAATACCTCTTGTTTAGCATTTATGAAGATGTTCCTAAAGCGATTGAATCATGGACAAACAGTGGTCGAAAGATATATGTCTATTCAAGTGGCAGTGTCGAAGCACAGAAGCTTCTTTTTGAATATTCTGTACATGGTGATTTGCTTAAGGTATTCCGCAATAATACATTATACTATAATATTCTATCAAATATGAATTCTTGAAATACTTGTTTGTATGAACTGTAATATTTTGTCCCTTGTTTTTTTTTTTAGTATTTCAACGGTTTCTTTGATACAGAAGTAGGTGCAAAGCAAGAAAATGACAGCTATAAAAATATATTAAGTAAAATCGGTGAAAAACCTTCCAATGTTGTTTTTCTTACCGATGTTGTAAAAGGTTCGTACATTTTCTTTCTTTCTAAATAAAAGAATAAATGTGAGAAATATTTAATTATTAAAAAGAGATTTTTATATTTGGATGATAATTGCAAATATCTTTTCTTTGCTTATTCTTTTTTTTCTTTAATTAGAAGCCGCAGCTGCCAAGGAAGCAGGTTTATCAACAGTGATTGTAGTACGTGAGGGTAATGCTCCACTAACTGATGAAGAAAATGTTACATATACAACTATTAAGTCCTTTTTGGATTTGACATTTCAAACGTCAACAAAACGGCAGAAAATAGAAACAACAGATGACAAAATTGATAAAGGTACAGCTGATGTCAGTGAGCCGATGGACACTTCCGAAGATGTAGAAATGCCCAATGTCAGTGATAAAAAAATTGAAAAAAAAGATGCAAAAGAAGTAACTGAATCAATAGAAACAGAATGTGCCAAGGACAAGCCATCAGAAAATACTTCAATTTCATTAGGGCAAGTGGAAGAATCAGCGGTAGATAAAAAAGATCTTTCAAATACTGAACAGGAGATAACAGAATCTAATGTCAAATCCAAGGAAAACACAAATGAGGATTCAGGTTCCTCTGAAAAGGCAAAAAGTGCCGCGAAAGATGATGTTGCCACACTAGCCACAAAAGACAATGATAAAGACATTGCAGAGAAGACTGAAAAAAAATTAGATACAACTGCAACTGAAATTACTACTGCAGCCGACGATTCCATGGACGTATCCGTACCAGAGCCTGCATCAAAGTCTGAGACGACTATCGCGTCTTCCGAGAAAAAGATCGAAGATTCCACAGATGTTACAAAAGATATACAAGCTGAAGGTGTCGATAAAACTGAAACGATTAAAAGTGATGAAAAGGCAGATAACATTGCATCACAATCACAAACTTGTGACAAAAATATAACAAACAAATCCGAAGAATGCTTGACAGCGAAAAAAGATGAAGTAAAAGAAGAATCAAAGATTATTTCAGATACACCTGAAAGCGAGAATATTTTAGCAAAGAGCGAACAGGAAGTAACAAAAATGGAGACAGATGTCACAGAAAATGGGGAGACAGAAACAACTACGGAAAAAACTACGGTATCGGAAACGGTAACACAAAAGGAAGAAACAGTTACGGATGTAAGGAAAGAAGCAGCTGTATCAGAAGTATCTGCAGAGAAGAGTTTGGAAATAATTACAGAATCTGAAAAATCCAATGAAAAGGCTCAAGGAATGAAAACTGAGACTACTGATGCTGATAAATGCGAGACTGAAACTACGCAACAGGAGACAATAAAAGAAGAGGAGTCAGTGAAAGAAGAGAATGTAGTGGATACAAAGGACAAAAATACGGTAGATTCGGAAAAGCAAAAACTCAATGGAACCACACAAAACGGAAATACGGATGTGCCAGTGTTGGATGATAAATTACATAGTAACGGACTGAATGAAGGGCCATCGAAGGAGACAACGAACGAAGACGCGGCAGCGCAAAACGGTGAGCCTGAGAGTTTGTCGGAAAGTAGTGCGGAATCTATAAAAGTTAAAAAAGTCGTCGATTCCGCCGTAGCCGACGGTGCCGGAGAACCCGATGTTGTTCCTCCTGTAGTTGTAGCGGCGACGTCTTAACTTTGTTCTTATACAGTTTAAGGAGCCCTTCATGCATAACCCCAATCCATAAGTACTTATTCGCAGGTATAAACTGATATTAATTGATCCCATGTATACTTTATGTAAATCGTACTACGTAACGCGCTACTTTAAGATGCAATTCGTAAAACTATCGTTTGTTTTGGCGGCTCTATAACGAAAGAAAATAGAAAAATAGTATAGTACGGAAAGACGCTTCAAATTTTCTTAATTATTTAGATATCTACAGCTACACAGTTATTTCACTTGACGATGACTAATATATATTTCTGTTTATATGGTATCATTAATGTTTTATGTTAATTTGATTATATATACTGCTTTTCTATATATTACGAAAGTTGGGTTTTATCGTTAATTCTTTCATGTATGATTTTTCGATTACTATAAAAATTTTTACAAAAATGACGAACTGTTAAAGTTGTAAAACTCTTTTAGTTGTAATTCGCACGTGATCGATCTAGAAGTAATCAAACGTCATCCGCTGTAATCAATTATTATGTATTCTTGAGGGGCTTTTTTAAAATATTTCTCTACGCGACATGTCTGACATCTTTTTTATACCGCCTAAACGAAACAACTACGCCTATACATGAAAACTGATAGGATAAGTAATTTCAAATAGAGTTGCAGTATATTAAAATATCGATTGTATCTGTGCCAAATGAATTTCACAAATTGAAACCTTTGTTTCTTTATTTTATCATTTTAGTGTTCTCTTTCTCTTCTCTTCGATAATTTTATAAATGATATTAGAAGATCTGGTCGATGTTTTATTTTACTGCTGCAACCGTGAAACTGACTAAGAATTATTTTAAGACTGTATTGGTATTGTCTTTTACAGTTGCTGTCTTGTAGATTATATCATAGATCTTCGTTGCGCACAGCATATTTAACTTTGTGAATTGATAAATAATGCATTTTAAGTCTAAATATTTGTAGATACATCGCACAGTAAGCTTCACCCAATTGCGTTAGTTTTGTTCGCGTTTTTTTTTTTTTTTATATAAGATGATAAAAAATTGTTTAATATTAGGACTTTTTATATCGATACGCTTTCTTCCATCGTTTTGTCTGCCTAACATGGTCCGCGTAATGTAATTTTTGTAGTGATTGTTACAATGCAGAACCGTTATGTTCATTTAAGTCAATCTCACAACATTTGTCAAGGAATATAAAAAAGTGTATTTTAGCTTTTATATTTTACAATTTTGCGATTTAATTCGTAAGCTATTCAGTCTTAGAGGCAAATGGCTCTATATGGTTACTTATATAAACTGATCTAGTAATTATAATTTAAAAGTCATGTAGCCAATTGGATACATTCTCTTCTATGTTTAATTATATAATTTAGATGCATTTGCGGAAAAGCATATCGATTCGTAGATTTACTCTGTCATTCCTATAAATTAATACTTTTTGTTACAGTCTACACACACGTGCAGAATGCATTTATATTATCGCTTTACAGTTAATCTATTAGCAAATTTAATTACCTATATTACTCCGCACTAAAATATTTTAAAAGCTGCTATACATAAAAATATCCAAGAGCAAGTCCCGATTCCGAATTAAAAATGAAATATATATATATATATATATGCGTTTTAATTGATAATATTCAATATATATTATATACATTATGTTTTATGTATAGTAGTGTTTTTTTTAATATACTTTTGTGTGAAATCGCTATAGAATAGATAAATAAACGACGGTAAAGATGCTGTGTATCAGATAGCTATTTAGATTATAGATGCAAAGCGATAATGTAGATATATTGTATGTAGACTATTGCTCATTTGTGATGCTCAACATGATTTTAAAACCTGTATGGAATCAATATTAGAAAATAATAATAGCAGTTAAAGTGAGATCGTGCTTTCGGCAGAAAATGGATTACTATTACTTTTACTGTTATTTGTTACGTCCATTCCTATTAAATTGACTGTGATTTATTGATAGACATAGGTTGCTCGAAACGATATTATCAATACGCGAAAACGATCGTCTTTGTCGAGTGATATTCTATTGCGATTATTTTTATTCAGATTTAGTGTGTCCGCGTCTAGTCGAAATCAGTCAGAAGTGGCGGAGACTTCTATAGATCGATAGACGATTTCGCATTGTTTGCTTTACATTACGTTCGCCGACTATGCTAGGAGACGCGATGAGACGAAAGAAACGCGATGAGTCTCATACGTCTACGATAGTGCGACAGAAGCGAACACAGAACCAGTACGAGAGTAAACACTTGATATTTTACGGTATATTTTACTCTTGACAGACCTCGCATATTTTATTTATAAGTCGTCTTCTCGAAGGGATATAAATGTTTCGATACTTGCGACAGATTGTATTATTTTGGTCATTATGAGTGCGGATCACTTGACGCTAAAAATGCTTCGAAACTTTGATTGACCAATCAAAAGAATTGTATTAATTGATCAATTGAAAAATGCTTCGAAGTATTTGTAGTATTAAGTCGACCGTAGCCTATATCACTTGTCTCGAAGTAATCAAGACAAAAACGAACTCATGTTTTCTATTATGTTCACTGAGGCACCAATAGTTTAAAATCAGTGATCGAAGCATTTTTTATATGCATAATGGCACGGATAAATGACTTAATCACTTATCTATACCATTGAATATATACGCGTTTTAATAACGATTTTTAAATTGATGTAACGAGAATGACAGGTGTTAAGTCCTATGATCGCATTAATTGACTAAGAGCCAATTTCACCAACTTGATTAACCCTAATCGGTGTTTAACTATCAACCATAATTGATCAATTCTACTAAACAGCAAATGCGATTGGTTAGTTACACGATCGATTAAATAATTGGCGTTGGTGAAACCAGCCCTAAGAAATCAAATAACGGAAAAAAATTGCAGGATATAAGTTTTTCAAATTCTTCCTATTTATCGACTGATTATTATACATGAAAGCCAAAAAACTGCCATGATTTATAGAACAGAAGCTCGAAGGTGAGATGACGATGTGCTCGAGGTTCTTCTCGGCTGACTTTCACGACATCACTTGAATCATCACTTCCATATCATTCATACTACTGTTTTGCGTCAATAGTCGAAGAGGCCAAAACGCACATCTTGATCGCATGTTCAGCATCACGCTCAATTCTCAACTACATTATGTATGACGATCGTGTCGACATTACGACGTTTTACTAACATACATACAAAATGATTTTTCGATATTTGCATATGTTGCTAATTGAAAAAAAATTTACTTACATTTAACTTACAATCTTAGAATGTAAGCTGAAAGATTGAATATAAATCTTTTTTAATTAGGCCTCTATAAAAATTTATTAAAATCCGTACGTTGAATGTATTAATCCTAATAATGACTAATTCGGGATATTCCGGAATTGATATATTCAAAAATGATTATATCAAGCCTATATAATTTTTACTTTGTAAAACTGAAAACGATAAAAAACGAGTGACAGAAATTTAGATAAAATTTTTTAATTAAATTTTGTAATTTATATAATTTTAACTTCAACAAATACCTTAATAATTAAATCTCGAATTAGAATCTTGCTTAAGTTATCTTATTAATCTTGAACTTATAATAATAATAATATACAAAATTTTATTTACGTACATATATTGTGTAATTTTGAAGTTAAACTCACAATATATGTACAAATTTATTTGTAATATATTATTATATAATTTTCAACGTATAGGTAATTTTATAAGATCTCTAAGTTCCTGATTTTGTTTTTCTTTTGGAAATAGAAAATGACATCATAAAAAATGCCAAATTTAAATAAAATATCTAAAATTGTATTTCTTTTTAAATACTCTTTGTTATAAACGTGAATACTACTACATATTTATTATTATATTTTCCCTATTTTCTAAGTTTTTTTAAACAATTTTAAGACAAAGATCCAAACGTATTCAACATAGTTAAAACTCCTGTAAAAAAACTATGAATGAGCAAAATCTAATGTAACACTGCCTCGTTGTTTATTATACGAAAATTACTCGATTAAAATTCATATCAATCTCTGTATTACTATCCCGATTATAATTCGTTCTAAGACGACACGTGCAACAAGATTCAGTAGTTTTGTGATTTAGCGATAGATTACTAATTGTGACCCTGACGAAAAATAGAAACAAAAAGATCCTGTAACATCACGCCTTTAGGATTGTAATTCACGGGAAACTGCCGTCTTTCCAAAGCGTTAAAATGATACGAGCGAAACGATCGAACAAAAAATCTAACATAGGACTTAAACAAGAGTAACCTTACCATATTCATTAGCGATATTATTGTTTGTAATTCATTGGCTATATTATCTGTAATACATCAATATAATTGTAAGAGAGACGTAAGGACTTCATCAATACTTTCTAACATTTAAGGATAGATATCCCCACGGGGGAAAGAGTGGAAGTCAAATATAAAAAAAAATTTGTAAGTTAAAATTAAAAAAATTTTTCTTCGTCACAAATTCATATTTTTTTTATATATATTTAATATTAATTTATTATTAACTTTTTAAACATTAATGTGTACATGTATAACAACTTAAACATGTGTGCATTAAAACAAGAATAATTTTTGCCATCTGTACAATTTGAATAACAAATATAATATAGTATCTAAATACTTTTGATTATTAAATCTGAAACTGAGAAAATTTGTAATTTACAATGTTTGTACCATTGTATACTAGCTAAAATATTTTATAGATATTTTTTAAGATTTTGTGATTTTTTTATTTAATATTTTATGTACCTTAAAACATTAACGTAATAATCATTTCTAAAAGCAAAGAATATGAAATATCTTTTTTTTTATAACTTAAAATATTCTTGAACTCGGCTTATATTTGATTTCCACTTCTCAATTGTTCCTATGAACCCGTCGCATTTCCTAGTATCTTCTTTTTCATCTCATTTATGTTTTCGACAAATACACTTTATGTTCTTCCCCCGAGGGAAAAATTACAGTTATGATTAATATTCTTTGTGGTGTTCTCTCACAGATATCTGTGTGTGTGTACGTTACATTATAAAACATGAGTGTTTTATATAGTTCGATTTGTTTTTTTAATTTATATATTTGATCCTAAGACATCTATCGCGCTATCGATAGATTCCTACATATGTTTACAGGATAATGAGTCCCCCTCTTTCAATATAAAATATACGTTGTACAAAAGTAATCAG